TTTATGAGGGGGGTCCCTGGAAAATTTTCACCCTTGTAAGGGGTCCGCAGACACAACCACTTTAAGAACCCCTGGATTAAAAATATAAAGTAAATATTCTGTCTCACTGTGATATCAGATTGTCAGTACAGTTTTAATAATGTAAAAATGACTTTATAATTATACCTGCTGAAAATGCAAAACAACAACAATCACCTTTAAACCTTGTGCACAGTTTCCTAATCATCTTAATTAAAATCAAACTAGTGTAGCAAAGAAATTTAGTTTTTTTCTTTTTTTCAGAAGAAAAAGATGAAAAAATGAAATAAAAGAAATTTAGGTTTTAATATTTCCATACAAAACCACACACAGAGAAGAATACAACACACCTGACAGTTGGTAAAATGCCACAAGATGAATACAGAACTATGAAAGTTCCCCAAAAACACTGACAAATGTTTCTGATTTGAAGAACGCTTCTGATGAACAGACATGAATAAATTATTTTCRTTGTTATTTTTGTGATGCTCATTGTCACAGGGTGTGTGCTGTGTGCCCTCCTTAGTCCAAAAACGAAACCTCACAGTTTGGAAGGAGCTGGGAAGTTGTGAATGTTTTTGAAGTTGTAGCCACAAAGCCTRTTTGTGCTCCTCTGCGCAGCGAGCAGCAGCGCCACATGTTTTGGAAGAAGAGGCGGTTGGGGGGGTGGATTCGGGAACATGTTTGTCAGTTCTGCTTTTCTGCAGCAGTGACAGCATTTCTCTGCAGAGGTCACTGGACTTTTGCTACAGGACACCCGCATGAGACTGGATCATGAAGTTTTTGTTTCATTTTCAGCGTAAAATTATGAGATTATGTTTTACAGCTTCGTCAAGCGCTCCAGATATATGTTTGTATACACAATACGTACGATGGAAGACACACAACTTGGGGTTTGCGGAGTGACTCACGGCCTGTCTTTACACTCCAAATGTGTAATCATGGTTGAAAGGTTTAAAATAACTTTCAGACAAGTTGTTTTAAAGCTTTTATTATGAAAACTAAACAGACACGGGGACATTGGACACTGTGAGGACAAGTTTAGTTAAAGTTTCCTCTTATGGGTCTTTTTGTACGTAGTCCTACTTCCTGGGTTCTAATATGGTATTTGTTTGTAAACTACTTCCTGTGTTATTTTGGACAAGGCGAAGGTCTCTGAGCAGTTTCTGGGATTTAAAGGACCAGCATGTGGCCACACACAGCAGCTGCTGAACACCCAGAACTCTGTGCAGCCAAGCACCAGGGGATTTTATTTGCTCCTCTCTTCGATGCTTTCTTTGTTCACTTTAGCAGTTTTAGCATAAGATGAYGGCAGATTAGACAAGAAGAGCTGGAATCCAAGTTTGAATTGGCTTTTTACCATTTCAGCTAATTTGTGTGTCTTGATAAGTCCCATGTTTTTAATCAAAACATAACAACTAAATTACTG